ATCTCTTATGGGGCCTATGAATCGACATTATCTTCTGCGTCATTAATCGCGACGATTAATATGAAAAATACTTATATTAATGATGTCTACTAAATTATCTTTTCATATATACCATGAGTTTTTTTATTCCCTTTAGTCATTTAGTTGCCTTTTAGATGCCTTTCTTAATTTAAAAGTTCATTGATCTTATTTTGAGTATATCTGAGGCTAAAAGCCGTTTTTATGTAGGAGTTAATTTACATTGAGCTGTTCGTTTAACGCCAACTGATCGTGTTGGCATGTATGTATATATATATATATAGGTGCGATCAATACTTTGATTCGTATGCACTCAAGCTGAGACATTTGTCTTTTTATCAGGTCCCATCTATTCACTGCGTTCTCCGATCCAATACTCTCCACTTAGTCCGCCTAAGGATTAACTTACGCAATTCTGGAAGTAAACTCACTATTTTACAGAGTAGCTTTTTATTTTTTTACTGGTTTATTGTGTCAGTGGTATTTAATATATTTATTTTGAACCTTAAATTCCCCGGCATAAGTGGAGGTATTTTTTTTATTGAGGCCTTGGATGGACATCTGAATCATAGGGAAATCATACGAAGACAAGTCTACTGATCGCTAGGCTTTATTGTAATGTGAGTTACGATACATAACGTCAGTAGATCCTTGCTTTGGAAGCAATCCTAAGATCTCATTTCAATCCCCTTACTGCCAGAAATTAGTCCTGATGGATAATCTCCCTCTCCTCCTTTGAAATCTGAAATAAAGCCAGTCTATAACATAAATAGTAAGTCAGATTGTGTCGGTATTTTTACTGACTTATTTCTAAAGAGCTTTTTATTTACGGACTGCGACAAAATGCATGCAATGACAAAGTATTATTTTGGTGAGTAGGAACTTTTTTTAGTATACACTTATTTGTCACTAGTGATTAGTGAAGTGATGCTAATGGTTGAAAATTGGTAGGTATTGTGACGAATTCTTATTATTGGATTTTATCGGCAATTAATTTGGATTAGGATGAGTATTGCATTCGATTAAATATGACCCTCTAATGTTTTTCTATAATTTTATCCTTATTTCATATCTCTTATAAGATTACTTAACTATAATAAACGCTGCATTATCTGCACTCAGAACTCGCATCTAAGTTTCGCAAAAAAGCGATAAGCAATAGTCACACTGCAGCGCGTTGCATTTTATTCTATAACCTGGACTAGAGCAAGAATTATACCTTCCACGTATATTATCTACCACACAGAATGTATGGAATATATTTGGTTCTTTTGACCGTGAAGTTCTGCCAACAGAATCTTGATTAGAGGATACTGATCAAGAGTTAAAGTAATATTTGTAGATAATGTCAGTTCTGGTGTTATTTTTTTATTGTTAAATTTGTTTATCGAGTGCTTGCGGCGTAAATGGGTCATGAATAATCCTATTTATATTTAATTTATATAATTAACTTTTTGCTATAAATGAATTTTAGACTAAATACTTGTTTATCAGTTAGAGGGAGATCATAATGTTTACTTACTTTTTTACACATATCTCTAAAATTTAATTTCTTTTGTTTACGATTTAGAAAAAATAAGCATATTCTCGGACACACACTCCTCAGAAATTCTATATCCGAATACGTCTACTTGCGATCATCTTTCGGAACTTTACATGCAGGGGTTTAAAGAACACATTTTCTCATCACCTCACCTAAAAATGAAAAAACGACTCAGAGATATACTTGGTAAGTTCTACTTCTGCATACTGCTTTAAATTCCTCTGCTTAACCTTACCCTTACTTTTACTCTGTTCAGGGGTCCCAGCACTTCGCGATATCTTCAGCCCTGAGATACCACTCGAGTTTGACTGCCCTATCTACTTTGTTAGAGATGATTTCGTCGCTCGCGAGGTGAGCAACTTTTATTTAGAAAATTGAACTATTACTGCCTCTATTTTAATCGACATGTTTTTGCGATTCACTTTATTGCTATTGGTCCCAATAAGTGATCTCACTGTTCTGAAATAAAGCATTTTTGTGTTCAAAGTAGCTAACGGCTAACAGTTGACTCTACTTTATTCTCATCAGGTTAAATCTCGGTGCTTTGGATGATGTGACATTTTAGGGACTTTTTCATAAACTAATCTGCTGGAACTGTGTTTCGGTGTACCTCTTTTATTTCATGTATTTTGGTTTCCCGTGAGACGTCTCTCTTCCATCCAACTTCTAATAATAAATTTAAATTCCAAAACATGATAAGCTTTCCTTTTTACGCTTTGTCCAGCACCAAGGCTTCCCTCTCCCGCCAGGCATGGCTGAACTTTTTCCTGCGATGGGTGTTCTATCTTCTTTTGAGGTGAATTGCGAGCAGATGGGCATGTCTCGGTGAGTCCATCGCGAAGATTCTGATTTATCTCGTTTACTTGAAATCTGTTTCCTTTTCCATCATAGTG